CTGCCTCTTTATCTGGCTTCTACTGCACGCACATTCGCTTAGGAGAAGGGCTTCCCCTCAGCACAGCCTTCGCTTCTACTGCACAGGTGCCTCAGCAGAGGCATTTCCTCTCTCACTGGTTCTCCCTCCACACCCTCCTCCCCCGCCCCGGGCATGATTGCAAAGCTGCCACTTCTTATTCAGTTTTAATGTTTGATTCCATTTGCCCTTGTCCTTTGTTAATAAATAACTGCCTATTCTTACATTACTAGTTTCAAATATTATTTAAAATGTTGTTCATAATATGAAACGGGCAACTGAAACACTCAAAATTTTTTTAAAAATTACTTTTTAAAAAAGTATAAACATATTATCTGTAACATCTCTCCTTTACAACGTCAAGGTGGATTTAAAAGTTTGGCATGCATGTTCAGGGAATCCCTGTGATCCAAATAGAAGGCCTTGAAAATAAAAAACAACAACAAAAAAACGTTCTTTTCACCAGAGGTTTAATAATGTCATCTCTTCAGCTGGTCTTTCAAAAGAATTAGTTATCCCTATATTATTTTAAGTGCTTTCTAACCTGTTAATTTTAATTATTTTCATTTAATCCTTTTACTATACCTATTGTAGGATGGCATCAGTTACATATGATTAAACAATTATGACACTAATTATTTACTCTGTCTTTTCATGTTGTTTATTTTTGGAACACTTGACAACTAATTATCTTGTTTATTTAATTTTTTGATTACACATTCCCACTCATCCTCTCTAGCATAGTATCTGCATGGAGTCAGGGATGGTGTCATTCTTATTTACAAACTTATTTCCAGCCCTAGCACAGTTCTTGGCATATTTCCTTGCAAAGAGAAGGGAGAGAGGGAGGGAGAAAGAAAGAGGAGAAATGAAGAGAAAGCATACAAGAAGGTGTTCAGACTAAGTAGCAGAGGAGTTAACCCATACTGAGTATGAAGGGGAAACTTAAAGCTAATGCCTAGAGATGGGTATTCCTATGAAAGGAATTTTTTTTTTTTTTAATTTTCTGGCTCTTAGGCTTTGATGTAATTTACACATTTGCCAAGGAGAAAAGTGAATATATCTGCCTCTTCTCAACTTCATAAATGTGGCCAACTTTCTTTAAAATAGAGATTCCTAAGCTCTGATTTCACTAAGATCATTGAGCCTTTGACATGGTCATAGTTAGTTTGAGAAAAATGGTTTGGATGAGAAAGAGAACAGATAACTTGAACATATGAATGATGTGTCTGTCCATAAATTCAGTTGTCATTCTCTCCTGTCTCCACCAAGGAAAGCAAAGAAAAGGATGTAGAACTGGCAGGTTCCACTCTTCTGTCCTTTTGTACCCCTCACACATAGTCTCTTCAGTATGACCTGCCTTGGGATCATCAAAATCAACTTCATGTATATGATACATTTTACAAATGTCAGTATAATAATCTTAGATTTCCAAGTCATGCCGTATTTCTATAAATCTAATGCTCACACATCTCTATAGCAGGGAGACAGTTTTGTATACCCACTTCTGACACTTTCTATTTCTCTTTCCAATTTTATTTATTTTTAGATAACTTACCATCATCTGACATACTCTATGTTTAACTTGTTTATTTCTTTGCCACTCTTTCACCGGCATGTATGTTCCACATGGGAGGGACACTTGTATGTCTTTCTGTTGGCTGTTTTCTGGACCTATGTCACATAGTTGACAGTCAATAAGAATTTGTTGAATGGATGGTGGAATAAATGAATGTGAAATAATACTAAAGAGAATAGCTTATCTGGGAGGGGGACAGGTTTTTTTGGGTTTTTGTTTTTGTTTTAAATTTTCTGTTTTGGAGCAAAAAGAAGATAGTACCAAAATATTGAATCATCTTTGAGTTATTACAATTCCTCATGCAACTTTGACAATTTTATTATGCTGATGTTAAATGTATCCCCTCTTGAATTCTGTGTCTGAATTCCCTTGATCACATATGTTATGCTGATATTTCTATCTTGTCACAATGACTCTAACCTGTTTGAAGCCCAAAATTCATGCTACTTGATCTTTAGTCAGGATTTTTTTTAAGTATAAAAAATTTTTATTTTTTTCTAGTCTTAACAAGTTCACCAAAGCCCTGATAAGTACAGGTAATGTCTTCAATATTTTACAATAGAACACATAAAATTGTAAATAGCCTACTAGACTGAAGTATCATCCTAGATACTAAGTGACAAAATATTCACTGACTCTAGTCCTGTCATCAATTACTAGTTCAAAAGTAAGTAACATGTGTTGTGAAAAGCCAAGAGTGGGAAGTTTTGAAACCTATGCCAGACAGAAAATGAAAGGAGTTCAGAAAATTATCAAAGCTCTACAAGTCAAATCGCCTGTGTCAAAATATGCTTAATGTATTACTATATACCAGGGAAAGGAGTCTACTTAAGTTTTCTCTCTTACTTTCCTCCCAATAGTCAAATACTCATCACTTGAAGGCCATCAAAACTCTGGGTATCTAAAGCAATTTTTCCATGCTGTTGAAAGGATAGAAAAGCATCTCCCTGATGAGAAGCACCCCAGGCTGTACCAAAGGTCCATCAGGAAACTTACAGGAGAGGAGAATGGATGAGAAATCATGTTTTAACTTGGCTACTTCATTGACCAAAAATGGAATAAATGAGGAAAACATGTACTTAAAATATTGATGAATGAAGGAATGCATCACTTCTTTCCTGAATAGAGGCATGGCTCAGTAGAGATGAACCAAGGTTTTTAACAAGGTCACTAGTGAGACCATGAGTTTTTCTAGGGCACACATTAAAATAGCATGTGCAGCATAAGTTCTATAATCACGACCAAATCAAGATCAAGCTAGTCTTATGCCAAGCCAGCATTCAAGAAAATGGTAGAAGTTGTTCTCTTGGTCTCATACATAATTTAATTAGAGTAAAATATTAAAACAGAATTAAATATGAGGTAGCACATGACGACAGCTTTCCACCCAACTTTCTCTCCCATCTCGATCTCATTACAAAAAGGTATGAGAATAAAAGCCACTAAGAATATTATTAAAATACCTGACCAAATCCTGGTGTCCCTGAATCCCAAAATTACAACAATAGCATTGTGAATCTTAAGCAAGAGCAGAGTAAGGTAAGATTAAATCCGATGTCTCCCCTCCCACCCAGGAAAAGTCATTTTCCATGCTTGAACAAATAACAGATGGAGAATGACTGAGAGCTCTAGTGCCTTCTAAGTAGAAAAGCTATATTTGCTTTCTCATTAGGCTGATAGGAGAGATGGCTAAAGACTTTAGGTAGATTCATAATCCCTCCAGCTGGACTGTCCTCAAGTGTAGGGTTTAATACTTTCTATCAATAGTATCGATTTATATGGCCCAATTAAAACAGGCAAATGTTTTGCCTTTTTTTAATCTTCTCTAAGGCAGGGACTATCAGATTAATCAATGAAATTTGAATACAATGTGTAAGAATAGAGAATCCATTATGTGGTCAAAGTTATATGTTTTGTGAATATGTTATCCTTGTATATCCTTCCTCAGGTGCCTAAAGATGGGGCTGGGTATTCCAGTGACCCACATGCTAAAATTCATCTTTAGACCTGTCTCAACAGGTTATCCACATTCAGTTGTAAGTGAACTTTTAACACAGAAATGTTGCAAAAAGGGTTAAAAATAGCTCAAAAGCATCTGAGAATCTTTGGGAATTCAAATCACAAATCTGTCATTGACATAACCAAGAAAGTCTGAAACATACTTCTGTACCAAAAGAAACAGTGATACATTGTGAATGCATAACTAATAAGCACAAGCTGGTTTGAAAATCTATAGTGGATTATTTGAATAAGAAACACATTATCTGTAAAAGTCATTATTTTTAACTTTAAATGATTCCTTATAAGTGTATACTATATGTTGTCTTGCCTCTGACCATACGTGTGTATATATGTATGAGCATGTGTGTGTTTGTGTAACCTTCGTTACAATCATGAGAGAGAGAAATGTTACTATCTTCAATTTCTAACTGAGGAAAGGTTAAGTGATTTGCCAGAAATTATAGAGCTGTTAAGTGGCATTGGCAGGAAATGAACCCAGAGCTGGCTGACTTCATAGCTGGTTTTCAGATCACCCTACTTAACCTTTTAGAAAACACACACTGTGATGCTCAGCTCTCAGCAATATGAACTATGGCCTTTGTCGGTGGGAGCCCTTGGAGCAGTTATGCAGCTACCCGGAATGAATAGGAAGGTTTGAAAAATCTGGGGGAGCTCTTTTATATGGTAGGCAACACTCAAAAGTAGTCGAGTATAAAAAAGCTCCAGCCTCAATCCATAGGACAGAGCAGAGAGGAGAAAAGCAGTTTGGTGATTTTCCTTACCCACACTTGGCTAGATTTTCATCATCAGTCGCTGCATTAATTCTATCTGGCTCCTGGATACAGTCATTTGCTTAATAGCTCCTTTGTGACTATAGGAGTTAATGCGCAATCCCAAATGGCTTCACTTTCAGTTGGGAGGAGTTTAGACAGAGGAGTAAAAAAAGTCTAAGTCCATTTTTCACAAATAATACAAGGACAAAAGCTGGAACAAACTATTTTACTTGTTCTGTTGGGAAGATCCCTGTTTTATTTTGACATAGGTCACTGAGACATACGAGGGGATTTTCATGTGGAGATATGTCCTTGAGTCAGAATAAATGGAGCAAAGTGAGTGAATGAAGTACAAAATATCATTTTAATGTTCAGATTTTTTGTGTCCTACTGTGAGATTTTTCTATTAGAACATTTGGGCCAAATTCTAAGTATCTATCTTAACCTGATGTCTTTGAAATGGTTAAAGATAATTGTCCAGTAACTGAAAATGACATTTTTTTCAGATTCAGTTCTTTGCCAAACTGTACACTTAAAATGATCTATTAACTGATTATTACATATAATTAATAATACTATAGAAATGTTAAGATACAGATATAATTGTATGGTTATGGTTTTCTTGTTAGGTGATAAAACAGGAAGAACTTGGCAAGGATCTTTCAGGTTGTACTCTATATGATCTACTGAAATACGATGATTTTAACTCTGACAAGCACCTGGCTCTTGAAGAATTTTACAGAGCATTCCGTGAGTATCAGATTCATTCCTTAATCCCTCTTTCATTTTTTTCTGATAACTTATACTAAAGGATATGTTTGCTTGATCTCAAAATGTAAGCTGTTTCTTGAGAGATGTCATATAATGTAGATAGTTTAAGTGTTTGGCTGTATTGAAATATATGTAAAAGCTAAGGGATTTGGTAGTTCCAAAATAAAGAGATGGAAATATTTGATAACCCTGACTCATGTTTAAGACATTAAATCCTCAATGCAACTTCCAAGGTTATTTTCGAGTAGGAGCAGCACTTGATCAGTTGTCCTCATGTAACAAAAACAATTTTGTTATTGACATACTGAGATTATTTTTACTTTACTGGGAAACCAAATTAAATTAATATAACTTTCTATATATATTTCAATTAAATCTTTGGGGTGACATTAGCTAATAAGATAATATAATTTTCATGTGTACGTTTCTGTGATACATGATCTCAATATTGCATTGTGTGCCCACCACCCAAAGTCAAATCATCCTCTGTCCCCATATATTTGGCCCCTTTTACCTTTTACTCCCCTCCTTTCTAACCACCATACTGTTGTCTGTGTCTATGAGTTTTTGTTTTTCTTGTTCATTCACTTGTTGCTTACAGTTTTATAGCCCTCATATAAGTGAAATCATATAGTTCTTAATTTCTGTCTGACAGATTATTTTGCTTAGCATGATATTATCAAGGTCCATCCATGTTGTTGCAAATGGCAGTATTTCATCTTTCATTATGACTGAATAGTATTCTATTGTATATATGGAATACATACAATTCCATATATTTGTATCACATCCTCTTTATTATACATTTTAATAACAATAAAGAGCATAAGAAGGAAAACTTATATTTAAGTTCCTTTGGAATGATTTATATTGTTTAAATTGCTTAAATTGAGTCTCTGTGCTTTATGAAAAAGAGTTACAAAGATGATTTAGTAAAAAAAATTATGCCAAGTTATTTAAAAATAGTTCAAAGAGAAATAACTAAGAGACAAAAGGGAAAAAAAGGAAAAGTTTAGGAGCTGTGTGCAAGAAAAATAGAAAAAATAAATTAACTGATTGGTATTTAAAAATCACTAAAGAATCAGTTAAATAAAATTTATTTCATCACCTGAAACCAGTTATGTCATATATAAACACATACATTGTCCTGGGGAGCACTGTGCGGGGGCGCTCCTGGATCTGAGGGTTACTGTCTGCAGCCAGCTGAGGAGGGAGCGGGGCTCTGAATCCCACAGAGCCCGTCCCGGGGTTGTCACGGACGGGGTAGGAAACACGAGTCTTTGCAAATACTTCTCTGTTTGCCAGGAGACAGGACGTGGCTCTTCCCTCTAGGGGAGAAGACCCCAAGCCCACATGTCCAAAGGCTTCTATTGAGAACCATATGCACAGGGGTATGGATGCAACTCTCATCAATCAATGTCAAAAGGCTATGTTTACAGAAAGCAAATAGAGATCATAGATAACAATTGGAGGAACACAAGAGATCTGCCTCAGGTCAGGGTCTATGACTAATGTGAATCTCCTTCCCAGTCTGAGCTGGTTATCTTCGCTTTTGAGGGAAGAACAAAGCACGTTTAGAAGAATTTACTTCTAGGCCTGATTGTCCTGGAGAACCACTCCATCCAGTTTAGGGCTGTACCTGCCTTTAGTATTGTTTCAAACCTGAGCCAGGTTGGCAGGGCAGAGCCCACCAAGAGATAAGGACGCCTCTTTCAGATAAAATGAGGACTTCGGCCTTGTCCAAGCTGAGCCGAGGGGTGTGGGCCTTTTTGCCCTTTCTCCGTGTGTCCCAGGTCCTTGACCTGCTGCTTATACCGGCTGTGTCTGTCTTAGGTCATCCTTCCTCATGAGCATTCTTACTTGTCTTCGACTAACCAACCATCACTGGGCCAAGAAGAGTGATGTGAGGGAGGCAGGGGCTGTGCCCCTGCCCCGGGGACAGGCTTTGTCTCCTCAGTGGCCTGCTTTCCCATGGCCTCCTTGATAATTTCCAGCCCTGGGGCCCTCTCACCTGTAGACAGGGCTACAGTTTATGAGACTGGACAGGGGGTTTCCCAACAATACATTATATATTAAATATACATATATCCAATATGCTATATATATACACACATATGCATTACATATTGCTTTCCAAGAAATAGGATTTGTACTTGGTATAAAAGATTTTTTTTGAGTTATGCTTCTGCCATCTATCAGTGACCCAACATTGGGGAGAGTACTTAAATCTCTGATAAGGATAGTAATTTATTTATCACATGATAATTTTGTATTAAAACATTGAATTATATTTCATGTAATACTTGATACAAGCAAATTAACATATGTGAAATGGTTGCACATTACAAGCTTTAAGGAAAGAGATCTCTTTGCTCTTCAGATTTAATTAAATTACATTTCCACTTTAAATTTTAGACAAGACAGTATACAAGAGGAGATGACTCAGTAAACAGTTATCCTTTAAAATTGTTCTCAAGGCTAGACTACTTTTCAAAGATAACAAGAAGGTAGCATATTTATTCTAAGTTTATATGAAGAAACGGAAACCCATAGAAATTGAAAACTAAGTGGCTGAGTTTATAATCAAACCCACATCAAAATAATTATGAAGTCTATGTGTTTTCCACTAATCAGTCTGTAGTAAACATTGTTTTGAGTACTCAGGATGTCAAGGAGAAGATATAGTTCATCAGGGAATAAATTATATATATTGTATTAATTATATTATATTTAATACTGTCATGCAAGATAGAATGGAGTAAATGTCATAGAAAGGCCTGCATAAGACATTAAGTTAATTGCTAAAATAACCTCCAACTTTGGGAATCAAGGAGACTTTATGAAGATGATAGCAATTGAATTAGTCTTCAGGATGAGTGGGTTTGAACTTTGAGAGATAAGCTATGGGAGATGGACTTAAACAATAGCATAAATCAAAACTAATGTGCATGAAACATCAGTGTATTTATAGAAACGAGTCCAACTGCAAGATTTGTTTCAGGTCAAAAAATCTATAAAAATGTATTAGTTATTACTATTTAACCATCTTGTTAATGATCAGTCTAATCTATCAATTACTATTCCCTAACTCCATACTATGAGAATACGTGGATATGACTAAAAAGCAGTAGTTGAAATATGTAACAATAGCAGAAAATAACTTAATGGATATGTCAATAATTTATCAAACATCCAAAAGATAATTAAATGGGTGTATTTATGTAGGGTTTTTATTTAAAAATGTACTACTATTGATGGTAGAATGGTAGAGCTGTAAACTGAAAAAAAAAATTAAAATAAGTATGAATCATATGTTATTTCCATGACAGCACAGCCAAAACTGAATAATAGTTCCTTGCAATATCAGTAAATAAGAATCTTGCCTATAATACTGCTGCTTGCACATATCACAAGGAAAAATAATACTGTTTAGCGGGGGTATGGTGTTAAGCTGCTAAGGAAGGCAGAGTAGTTCAGTATATTGTTCTGACAAATAACGTTCTGTAATTAAGAAATTAGAATCATTGATAAAAGTGTCCAGTAGAGAAATAGTAAAACGTTTATAAAGGAACCAGGTTGTACTAGGAACTATTGATTTGGATAGAAAATATGTAGGATTTTGTTAACTATTACAAGCTAATATGGTTATAATTTTGTGAAAATTATTTACAGTATATACACTGAATTTAATGAATATTACAATTATTCTGCCTTTAGGTCAAAATTCTACATAACACAAAAGGTCTACATTTTTTATTTTCTCAGTTACAAAGACATTAGGTAATGAAAGCTCTTGTAATAAGTAATCACATTATAAGCTTTTTCTTTGGATAATCACAAACCTATCTCTTATGATATCCTATTTATCAATGATAAATTGATATTCACCTAGTTATTTAGAGAAGACATTTTTAAAGTAATACTGGCATTATATGGGATATTTTAATATTCTTGTGATCTCACCAAAGAGTTTTCTGGGAGGTTATATTTTCAGTGTTACATCTTTGTTTGAGCATATCATCAACTTATATAATGACCTTTCAGAGGTAGCAAAATGAACTTGTATGGATGTATCTGCATTAACAAAAAAGATATTTTACTTATATGTGGAAAGAAAATACATATCTATTCCTTCTCCATCTTGTTTTAGTACTTTACAACTAAACCCACTTTGTGAAGTTCAGTGACAGGCTTTGTATAATGACATGATTTTAAAAGTTATTCTATTATAAAATACTAGGTAGTATCATCAATAAAATGTATAACAATAATGAAAAGGCAATTTATTCAAAAATTATATATTAAGTATCTATGTGTGTAGAGTGTTGTGATAGTTAAAGCAACTTGAAAAGATCGAACTTTTCCCCCTAAGAATATATAATCTAGGCAGACAGTGATAAAAATGACAGATACAGTAAGAATAAACAGTAATCATTTTTTCCATCCAGAATGCATTCCCCCTGATAATTCCTGGGGAAAAAAAACCCCTAAATGAATATCTACAAGAATAGACTAAGGCCAGAGAAGTTAAAAATTATCTTGATTTACTAGTAGATACAATGATAGACAAATTTCTTGGGTACCACTTTTTATTCTTTCTGCCATAGTGTATATGGAGGTAAAATAACAGTTAATTGCTAAGAGTAAAATATTAATGGTAAAAAAACCCACATTATTAACTTAATTATACTATTACAGTTATTACAGAAGTTATGTTTTTCTTATAAAATAGCTTTATAACATTCTGAATATGATTAATTATTTTAGTATTTCCACTAGACATTAGATGATAGTCTTAATTTTTTTCTGGAATTATTGGCATTGTTTTAAACATTCTTTGATTTTTACTAAGGTATTTAAAATAAATTCTCAGTGTGATCATCAAGTATTCCCTATCATGCATTGTTTAATTACCAAACTTAGAAATCTATTTAATGGGATCGAATAAATTTTAAGTGATATCAGTGGCATAGTTGGGA